CCTAAAGAATACCAATACATTTTTATTTTTTGTTCCTAACCTAGTAGTCTAGTACATAGCAAATGAAAATGTTACATTAATTATAACTTCTAACAAGGGTTAAGCAACTCTATCAACGTCATAAACAAAGAGGATAAAGATGCACAAATATGGAAAAAACCCTAATGCATCAAACAACCCACAAATCCAAATCACAAGAACAATATTAATTTAAGCGGAACAGGACTAATATATCAAACAACAATCAATCGAATGCAATGAAAATTACCAAGCAAAATAGTAAATCAGAGAGACACAAAAATTTATGTGGGAAACCCAAATCGGGAAAAAACCATGGGCAGAGTAAGCCAAGAACCAATCCACTAAAATATTACAGTGTTTACAAAGCTCGATCAATGTGATTACGATGGACTATAATGGTGATTTGATGAAAAAAGGTTGAAACCCTAGAAATGTCAATCTAAAATGGGGAAGAAGAAGAAGTCTTGATTTTTTGTTTAATATCTCTCTTCTAGAAAATAACATTCAATTTAAGCTACAAAGGAATAAAGGTTTTCCAAAATTGGCAAATATAGACCTTCAACAATGAAGCAATTGCATTTCTAGAACAAGTCCATTTTAGAGCTGATACACCTATTTTAGACATGGTGTCCTTTTTTGACCTAATACACCCATTTTAGACCCGATGTCATTTTTAAACTTGATGCAACCAAGTTAAACCTAGATTGCTAGAAAGACAATATAACCCTTGAACTAAGCAGAAATTGTCAATTTTGGAAGGCATATTTCCACAATCTCCATCTTGACTTCAAAATAGACCATGCAAAATTTCAACTTGTCTAAAAATCACCCGAAAACATAAAAGGTCAATAGCTTATCAAACTCTAAAACTCCATAAGAACTTGTAATCACCATTTATTGAAAAACTGATTCCGAAAAGAAAAATACCTCCTCCATCAAACCATTGATGCTCAATTGCGATCAGAAACTCTCATCAAGTCCAAACATAGTTTGAACTTAGCTATAGGAAGATCTTAGTGAACATATCAGCAAGATTATAATTTGTATGAATCTTGTCCATGACAAAATTACCTTTTTTCAATGATATTCCACACAAAATGGAAAGGGATATCAATGTGCTTAGTTTGGTCATGAAACATTTGATCTTTTCTCAAAGAAGATAGCACTTTTATTGTTACAGAATACTATGGTAACCTTCAATCTATCATCGAGTTCAATAAATAGACCCCTCAATCAGATATCTTCCTTAATTGCTTTTGTATCTTCCTTAATTTCTTTTGTAATCATCATATACTCTGCCTTGGTAGATAACAAAGCAATTGTAGACTGTAACTGAGCATTCTAACTAATAGCATAACCGTTCAAAGTAAACACAAACCCTGTAATAGATCTTCGTTTATCCAGATCTTTAGTGAGATCTTTAGCGTGATCTGAATCAACATATCCAAGCACCCCAATGGTAGACTTACCAAAATGCAGCCACATCAAAGTTGTACCTCGTAATTAATGAAAGATCCATTGCACTGCTTCCAATGTTCTTTCCCTGAGTTCGCCATATATATATATATATATATATATATATATATATATATATATATATATATATATATATATATATATATATAATATATATATATACGAATACTAATCATGCTAACAACATAAACCAAATCAACGTATGTGCAAATCATATAATACATTAAAGATCTGACAGTAGTAGACTATGTAACGCGTGCCATATAATCCATATCAATCTTAGTACTAGGACTCATACGAGATAACTTCAATCAAGCTGCAAAAGGTGTGTTTATAGGTTTTGCTTCATGCATATTGAAGTGTTTTTGGACTTTCTCAATGTAATTTTTGAGAAAGATACATGACATTAAACTTCCTATCATGAACAATTTTCATACCTAATATATTTTTGGCAACTTGTAAGTCATGCATTTCAAAACCAATTTTCAACTGGTCTTTTAATTTCTGAATCTCCTTTATATCTTTCACTACGATCAACATGTCATTCACATAGAAGAAGTAGATCTTCAAACCATCATCACAGTTTTTGTAATAAACGCAACTATCATGGGCACACTTCTTGAATTCGTGATTAGCCATAAATGAATAATATCTCTTATACCATTGTCTAAGAGACTTCTTGAGGCCATAAAGAGGTTTATTCAATTTATAAACATAATTCTCCTTACCAGGAATTACAAAAACCCTCAGGTTGTTGTATAATAATATCTTCCTCAAGAACACCATTTAAGAAAGTTGCAGTAACATCGAGTTGCTCTAACTCATAGTCATTAGAAACAACCAATCTCAACAATACACAGACAGTAGTATGTTTGACAACTGAGGAATAAATTTAAGTTTATTTAGTACCATGAATTTGATTGTAGCCTTTATCTAATAACCTAGCGTTGTAACTTGGTTTCTCATCTGGGTTGACAAGTTCCTTGATCTTGTAGACCCACTAGAATTTAACTAGTTATTTTCCTTTCGGAATAGAAACTAAATCTCAATTATCAGTTCTTTATGAGGACTCCATCTCACTTTGCATTGCAATCATCTAATCACTTAAGTCTTTAGACTTAACAGCCTCATCATAATTCATAGGCTCCATTTCAGACTAAATATCATCATCAAATTAAAAGCATAAGAAAGAAGTTTAGCTTCAACATAGCTCTATGGAGGTACAATATCTCTTCTCGATCTATCTCTTCCAATGCGTGGAGTAATATCTTGTGGTGGCGAAGATGTTGACTCTTCAAAAACAATGGGCTTATCAGACGAGGAAGACTCTTGATTTTCTACTAAACTTGGAATAGAAGTTGAAGGTGATGTAGGAATCTACACCTCCATTTGAGCTTTCTTTTTACTTGCTTGGGATGATGCATCTGCACTTCTAGAAGAGTTGGCAACAGGCTCAATTATAGCGGAATCATCAAAAGTAACATATCTTTATATAATAACTTTCTTTAGATTCGAGCATCGTAACTTCTATCCCTTTACACCTGGATTGTACCCCAAAAAACACATTTTATTGTTCTCAGTTCTAACTTCCCATTTTCAACTCATGCATAAGCTGGACATCCAAAAGGTTTTAAATTTGTACAATCGACAAGTATCCCATACCATAACTCAAATGGATTTTTCTTCTTAATTGCTCTTAGCGGTGATCGTTTTATTACATAGAAAGCAGTAGAAGCAACCTCCACCCAAATGGAATTTGGCAATTTGGAATTGGAAAGCATAAAATAGACCTTCTCCATAATGGTGTGATTCATCCTTTCGGCTGCACTCTTTTGTTGAGCTGTATGGACAACCGTGCGATGTCGATTGATGCATTCCTTTCAACAATAGGCATTAAACTCTTTTGAGAAAAAGTAAAGTCCATTATCCATTAGAAGATACTTTACTACCAATCCATATTGCTTTTCAACTTGTACTTTCCAATTTCTAAAAGTGAGAAAAATCTCCCTTATGTTTCAAGAAGAAAGACCATGCCTTTCTGGAGAAATCATCAATGATAGTGACCATATAAATAGCTCCACATTTCGAAGCAACTCGAGTCGGTCCCCACAAATATGCTTGGACATAGTCGAGTGGTCCTTTTGCTATATGAACATCAGTCGTAAATCTCACTTGCTTTCTCTTTCCATATACACAATCTTTACAGAACTCTAAACCAATAACCTTTTATTTACAAAGTAATCCTCTTCTAATCAGTTCAGACATGCCTTGAAAACTTGTATGGTAGACTTGAAGGTGCCAAATATGATACTTATCTAGATTAGAAAGTAACTTAGAAACGATAACATCACTTGAAATTGCTTTCCCCTCAAGAAAGTAGACGCATGAAGTCTTTCGTTTGGATCTGAGTTTGTTAGAATCATCTTTGAATACCTTGAGAACTCTACCTTTACCAGCAAACTCATATCCCTTTCTACCAATGGAACTAAGGTCTCGTTTGATGGTTGATGTCCGGGAAAATACTGTCTTGGAAAGTTTTTTGAGTGAGAAAGAAACCATGATGTTTGATTGTACATTAGACTAACTATGTTGAATGATGAAAAATGACCATATTACCCTGTCGTTTTATACTGCGATGGATAAAGTTGCTGAATAGTTATAAAAACATACAAAATCAAAATTACACCATTATCATTTAAAAATATAAATAGAAATTGTCATACAGAGTAATTAAACATAAATCAATTAAAATCCAAATAGAATGTCGATTAGATTGTTTTTATTTTATTGTTTTTCAAGTGGATGTCATGTTATTCTTTCTAGTTATTTTAGTTTTTTTATAACCCAACATGTGATTCTTGACCCGATTTATGTTCGATAGTGGTAGGATGGATGAGATTTTTTAAAATAAATTAGGATGATGGTATTGTCCAAAAAAAAAAAAAATAATCCAATAAAAATGTAGTAAAAAAAATTAACTAAAACAAATTAATAATTCAATAAAGTAATATTTATTAATATATAAATAATAAATATTATAAATAATATTTATTAATATATAATCCAATAAAAATGAAAAGAAAATTAAAAAAAGGATTATTTAAAAGAAATTAATATTACAATAAAATAATATATATTAATACATAAATATTTTATATGAAAAATAATATTTGTCAGTATTTAAAAATCCAGTAAAAAATAAATAATCCAATAAAAATTAAATTTAAAGAAATTAATAATCCAAGAAAGAAAAATGTGAGGTTTGGAGAATAGCTGTCTTTCCGGTCTATTCAACCACAAATATATGGTTTCTGAGCTTTCCGGGAAAGTCATCTTATCGGAAAATATATTTTTTTTGTGCAAATCAAACAGTCTTACATATCCATTCAGCCAGAAAGATTTGTTTGGATATGAAAAGATGTCTATCAAACGGGGCCTAAGATATAACAAGTTTTGTCTAAAGCCTGGAACCTATTTAACATCCTCTATTATTTGGATAATTCCATCAAACATACAGATTCTGACTGAACCATATCCAACGATCGGACATGTAGAATTGTTATTCATAAAAACATAGCCATGGTTAACCATCTCAAACGTATAAAAGTAACTTCTATTATGACACATATGAAAAGTACAAACAGAATTGAGTATCCATTCACCAATAGAATCTAGTTCATCCGAATAAACTGTAAGTTCTCCAATACAATCAACCTCAACAACATTGGCTTCACCATAAGAACTAGCTTGTTTAGCAGTTGTTTTTATTTCTCTTCATTATTCAACTTGAAGCATTGATCAATCAAATTTCCTTCTTGTGATAGTAATTGTAAAACTTTCTTTTGCCTTCAGACTTGGATCTAGCCTTGTAAGAAGATTAAGAGGTTTTACCTCTATCTGTTCTTCCTCTAGCATTTAAACCTTCGACTTTAACATCATTTGAGCCACCACAAGTAATATGCTTCATATTCTCATTTGAACACAAATCTATAGAACTTCATCTAAAACAAGAGTTTCACAGCTGTAGATGATAGTATAATGAATATGGTTGTAGGATTCAGGCAACGATGACAACAAGAATAAGGCCAAGTCTTCATCTTCATACTGAACATCCATATTCTCCATGTTAATGACCAACTCTTTTAATTTGGAAATATGTTAAGCTAAAGAAACTCCTTCAATCATCTTGAGATTGAACAATTGTTGCTTTAGATGCAACTTGTATGGTTGGATCTTAGTCATCAATAGTTGCTCCTACTTTAACCATAAAGCAGCCACTGAAGTTTCTTTCAAAAGATGTTGCATATTCATTTGAAAAATGCAAATGAAGTTTCTTTCAAAACATCTTGCATATTCATTTAAGTCAATTTGTTAAAAGCTAATTGAGTTAGCTTTTTCATTTTGAGCTTTTTGATCACTAGACCAGATGTCCTGATTTCTCATTTGCGGTTTACAAGATTTGTCTATATACGTCAAATCCGCACAAACCACATCTGAATGCCCACATCTACAAAATGCAAATCTACGATCTACCGGTCTAGCCCATTAGATATAGCCCATGTTGTATACTTTGTATAGCTACCACCATCTAATTGTTTTTGTGTATATTTACTTTGCTTGAATGAAAGAATCATTATGGAGAATATTGTAGCGTAATAGTAATATTGTCTTTGCAGTTCAGGTTAGCTTTTGTTTCACCTGAATCAAGGGTTGTAGGAGCTGGAGACTTGGTTGATCAACCTAGAAAAATCGCGTTACATTATCTTTCTGGATTTTTCTTCCTTGACTTGTTTATTGTATTACCAGTTCCTCAGGTGAGAGTTTCTTTCAATCATAATATCTTATTTTTACTATCATTAGTTGTAATTCCTCATAACTTAATTTACTATGCACGCAGATAATTGTATTACGTTTCTTACCAAGTGCGACATCAGGAGCTACTTATGCAAAGAATCTCTTGCGATCAGGTGTTCTTAGTCAATACATCCCCAGATTATACCGATTTCTGCCTCTTCTTGCTGGCCAGTCTCCAAGTGGTTTTATATTTGAGTCAGCATGGGCCAACTTTGTCATCAATCTTCTGACCTATTTCTTGGCTGGTCATGTTGTTGGATCATCTTGGTATCTGTTAGGGTTACAGGTGAGTGAGATCATGAAATATTGAGTTATTGACCATGTTTTATCTATGTTTTATATTCATTTTTTTAATAAAAAAAAAATAAAAAAAATAGAGTTTATATATTTTAATCACAATGCTAATCTTAGACAAAGTGAATGTGTTATTTTCTATAAAACAAGTTTAAACTTAACTGTTCAGCCGTGAAAATCTTGAAAATGACCATTTTTATTTTCTTTATCTCCTTCATTTTGCTCTGTAATAAACCTTAATATCAAACGAAACTCGTCCAGAACCCCCAAAACAATCCTAAATTAAAAGAAAACAAAAAATGAAACCAAAAGAAAATTCCAAAATAAAACATAAATCTGGAGGACTTTGATGTCGTCTGTTATATAGAGTTTTAAGGAAGAGAAAAAGAAGATGAGAACAAAATGATCATTTACATAGACGTAACACCCATTTATAAACAACGTGACATTATAGGGACGAGTGTCTCCAAATATTGTATTAGGGATGAAAAAAGCAAAAAGACAAACTATTGAACAATACCCATATATAACTTTTGATCAAGGACAGGGCTGAAACTTGTAACTTAGTCTAAAACTATTGCACAATAGCCATAAGTTTTCATAAAGCGCATTTTTTAAACAGCTTCAAAGTTATAATTTCGTCTCCAAATATTTATATGCGATTATTCATGTCATAGTGTATTAAAGTTTGCAGGCTAGTACTAATTGTTTTTTCCTTTAATTCTTTCAAGAGGGTGAGTAAATGCCTTCGAGAAGCTTGTCGTCAATCTACATTGTTCCCAAACTGTTTAAAGTTTATAGATTGCGGGCGTGGGGATGATTTTCAATACTTAGAACGTGATCGACAATGGAATAACTGGAAACAAGATAAAACTTCGAGTTCTTGTTTTACTGAAAAGGCCGATTTCCCGTATGGAATTTACGAGAGAGCTGTCGATCTCATTGCCGAGGATAACATAATCAGAAGATATGTATATTCCTTTTTTTGGGGGTTTCAGGTATATATTCAATTTTTTTGGATAAACTTTGTTCGCTTTTGTTCTTTGTGAGGGCCCTTTCTGTATTTCATTCCGTTTCTTATATTACCTTGTGTTAATAAGTAACTGTTAGGGAAATATCTAAATAAATTAAGAACTTTCTGGCATGTAAATAAATCTTAATAAATTAGTTTTACTAAGGAGAGGGCTGTTATGCCAAAATAAGGGATTTGATATTTTGTTGTTGCTAGAGTTACGGGATTTAAGCTAGTGATTGATTTAATAGGTAACAAAAAAAAAATGAAATGAACAATGATGTAATCTAAACAAATAAATTAATACACAAATAAATGAAAGTGAGTTGCTCATTTTTTGTATCTAGCCTCAAACTTTTTGATGTTAAGTTCTATTTCTATCTTCTTGTAAATGAAATTATTTATGTCAAAGGTAATCACAAAATTCCTCCTAATTCTTTATTTGCTGATGATTGTGAGAAGCAAATCAGCACACTGGCTGGCAATCAATCTCCAAGTTACTTTGTTGGGGAAGTCCTTTTTACGATGGGTATAATTGCCCTTGGGCTTCTACTTTTTGCACTTCTTATTGGGAACATGCAGAACTTCCTTCAAGGTCTTGGACGCAGGTGAACCTTTTAATGTGGTTAATTAATATGGTAGTTATAACCACTCATTGAATTATGATATAAATAGTTCTTCCATGTGCATAATTCATGGACTTTTAATATTATCTTAGACGGCTGGAAATGTCACTTAGACGACGTGATATTGAGCATTGGATGGGACACCGACATTTGCCAGAAGACTTACGAAGGTATATATCTCATGCCTCGTTACTTTAATTTCTCTGTGTAGAGTGATTAATCATAAATCCACTGTCCTCTTTTCCATAAAAATTAAAATTTAGCCGCAACCTCAAGTGATCAAAAGATTTTTTTTTTGGGAAAATGGTCTCAGAGATTCCCAACAGCCGGCCAAGTGAAAAAAATTGGAAAATAAGAACATAAGGATATACGTGGAGAACTTAAACAATTGGAGAAAAACCATAGCCTCAAATGAGGAAAAAAGACAATGTATAAAAACATGAGAGAAAAACCATTTAACGTTTTGATGTGCAGAAAAGTTCGAGAGTCGGAGCATTATAATTGGGCCGCTACCCGAGGGGTTAATGAGGAGATGCTAATGGAGAATTTGCCTGAAGACTTGCAAAGAGATGTACGCCGGCACCTCTTTAGTTTTGTCAAGAAAGTGAGAGTCAATCCTCCCTCTATGCTCCTTTTTGGTGATTATTATATGATAACATATCATTTAAACTAAGGGTAAATCCAAGAAATAACTATGTAGCTTCATTTATTTATGTATTATAGCATTCTGCTTTCATTTTTTTCTATCACAAGCGTGCTTCCATTTTTTTTCTTATTATCTGAAACGTCAACTTAATTATATATTCGTTTTCATTTTAGGATATTATACTTCTAAAATTCTACCCGGTTACAATGAAAATTGTTTGTATTTCGATGACGATGCTATAATTGGGTAGTTTTTTTAAAAAAAAAAGTGGTATAATGCAATATAAAAGAAGTGAAAGTAAGATGGTATAATAAACAAATTAATGTAAGTACGTTGTTTATTGCAGTTACAAACTATAATCACAACTTTTTAAATCACAGGTCAGGATTTTAGCAGTGATGGATGAACCAATTCTAGATGCAATATGTGAAAGGTTAAGGCAAAAGATATACGTCCAAGGAGGCACACCTTTATATCAAGGAGGGGTTGTGACAAACATGGTTTTTATTGTAAGAGGAAAGATGGAGAGCATAGGAGAAGATGAGAATCATGTTCCATTGTCAGAGGGTGATGTATGCGGTGAAGAACTTCTCAGATGGTCCCTTGAACATTCATCAGTTAATGGAGGTATAAACTAGATGGGATGCACAAATGGCAATAATAACAACATAATATTAAAAATCTGTAAAATGGTTACATGCATGAATGGGTTCTATAACAAGTTTCAAAACGTGACTGGTTTCAGTAACATTTTCTTAAGTCCAGCGGGAAACTTAGGAATGAAGTGGAAGTTTGTTGTTATTTATTTCAATTTCTTTTTAGTTTAAGAACATGAACCTTTTAAATCCTTTTCACAATCAAATGTTACTTCCAGATACAAGGAACGATAGAAAACAAGGAGGCAGATTGCTTAGCGACAGGACAGTGAAATGCATAACGAATGTGGAGGCATTTGTTCTACGGGCTGCAGATCTTGAGGAAGTAACAACTCTTTTTTCTGCATTCTTAATGAATCAGCGTGTTAAGTTTGCCATAAGGTAATGCATCTTTTACTTACACAATAATCTCGTTATGGCACCGGTTAAACGCATATATCTACCACAAATGTTCCACATTTTACGAATTTCTCCAACCTACACGCATCATGCAACTATATTTCAATGGGTGTGGTATGAACTCGGGTAACCTGAGTTGCCTGCTTGTTATTCGAGTCACAGGAGTACTCCAAAAATACCAAACGGGTTTTTATTAATTCCCTAATACCCACAAGATCCTATAAAACTCTATTTATAATGTCCAGCTAACAAACCTAATTCAACTCTAATAGATATTGAACATATTCTAAAAAGATAAAGACTAACATAAAAGATAAAGACTAAGCACAAATAATCAAAATTATCCTAATCTAAGGTATTCCTGCCACGCCTTTGATAAACCTGACCAAATCTTCCTGCCTGGGTCGTATCATTACTCCCTTCCCAAACAGACACCTTGTCTTCAAGGTGAAAATCTGGAAAGTGCACCCACGACCATATAGAATCCGGAATGGAGTGGTGTTGGTGGAAGTGTGAAAAGAAGAACTGTACCAGAACTCCACCCACGACAACCATTTCGCCCATTTTTTTTGAGCATCTGACACAAAACAACGAAGATAGGTTTCTAAACACCGAACCACCTCCCTCAAAAATGCCGAAGCCACAAAACAACTCTGTCGCGATCCGACACGATGGATTCTGGAATACCATGCAACCGAACCACCTCCCTCAAAAACGCCGAAGCCCTGTAAGAGCCGTGTACGGGTGTTTCAAAGGAACGAAATGAGCATATTTACTCAACCTATCAACGATCACAAATATAACAGAAAGCCCATCGGACTTCGGTAAGCCATCAATAAAATCCATACTAACCTCTGACCATACTTTATTACGTAATTCAAGGGGCTGCAACAACCTGCTAGGAGCCAAGGTAGAGTATTTATGGCGCTGACAGACATCACATTGAGCAACCATGCGCGATATGTCCCCCTTCATTCCCGTCCAAAAAAGTTCTCGAGCCATTCGGCGATAAGTTTTTTGAACTCCCGAGTGGCCTCCCAACAAAATCCCATGAAACTCACGAAATAACTGTGGGATCCAAGAAGACTTACGATTTAACACCAAACGACCATTAAACAATAGTCGCTTGTCATCCACCGAAAACCCAATTGGTATCTGCTGACCAGAAATGATGCGTTGCCGGAGTTCCACTAACTCAGGGTCATTCTCAACCTCACGCCATAAACCTTCCCAATCAACCTGATAACCAGTCACCAATACGAACATTTTAGCTCCATTCTCCTTTGACAGTGCATCAGCTGCATTGTTTTCTCGCCCCGGACGATACTCAATATCAAAGTTGTATCCTAAAAGCTTAGACAACCACTTCTGATGGTCTTCAACCACGATCCGCTATTCCAGCAAATATTTTAAACTCCGCTGATCCGTACGAACCACGAACCTTCGCCCGAGAAAGTAAGGTCGGCATTTTTGTATAGCAAAGACAATGACCATTAATTCGCGCTCATACATAGACTTTAGATGAGCCCAAGTACCCAAAACCTGACTAATGTAAGCAATTGGACGAGAATCTTGCATAAGTACTGCACCCACACCAACCCCCGAAGCATCAGTTTCCATCACAAACGTTTTCGTAAAATCCGGTAAGACCAAAACCGGAACATGAGTCATAGCAGTCTTTAACTGCTGAAAAGCTTGTGAAGCTTCCTTGTTCCAATGGAAATTATCTTTCTTGAGCTGATCTGTGAGCGCACCTGCAATCTTTCCATAATCCTTGACAAACTTGCGGTAGTAACCCGTCAGTCCTAAGAACCCACGTAATTCCTGAAGCGTTTCCGGTTCCGTCCATTCTACCATAGCTTCAATTTTCGAGGGATCAGCTGATACACCCTCCCCCGAAACCAGATGCCCTAAATACTCAATTTGATCTTGAGAAAACGAGCATTTTTTTTATTTGCAAAAAGTTTATGCTCTTGCATCTCTAGTAGAACCGCAAATAAGTGATGCACATGTTCGTCCTGGAACTTGCTATAAATGAGAATATTGTCGAAGAAAACGAGTACAAAGCGTCGTAAGAAAGGCCGGAATACCTGGTTCATTAATGATTGGAAAGTGGCAGGGGCGTTGGTCAACCCGAAAGCCATACCGAGAAATTCATATTGCCCCTCATGAGTTCTAAAAGCAGTTTTATGAACATCTTCTTCTCTCATTCGTATCTGATGGTACCCGAACTTTAAATCTAATTTTGAAAATATAATCGACCCATGAAACTCATCCAAAAGCTCGTCTATAATAGGAATAGGAAACTTGTCAAGAACTGTTGCCTTATTAAGTGCTCTATAATCCATGCAAAAACGCCAACTCCCATCTTTTTTTTAACCAACAACACGGGACTAGAAAAAGGACTAGTACTCAGCTGAATAATTCCGGCATCCAACATTTCCTGGACTAGTCGTTCTATCTCATTCTTTTGTACTTGCGGGTAGCGGTAAGGTCTTACACTTACGGTCGGGGTACCCTCCTTTAAAATGATCGCGTGATTTATGCAACGTTCGGGGGGTAAACCACCAGACGTTTCAAAAACATCTTGAAATGCCTCCAACACCTTGATAACCGGCCCGAGAATCACAACAGGAGTAGGCACCACGCCTCTCACCTGAAGATGGATGAAATATCCTTCCCCCTCCCGTTGCATTAACTTTTGGAGTGTCTTATACGAGACCATAGTTTTTGATAAAACGGGTCACCTATGATCGTGACCAGCCTATCACCTTCCCAATATTGCATTCAAAGTTCCAACCAATTGACCATCATGTCACCCAGCGTTTGCAACCATTTGACACCTAATATGACATCTTACCCTCATAGTTTAAAAGGTAAAAACTCTTCCACAATCATAACCTTAGGTAAGTCAAGACGGACATCTTTTGCAGCACCCATGGCTCCGTGTTATCAATCCATTACCCAACTTAACTCCCACTGAACCAGAATCTGACACGATGATGGTGAGTTCATCAACCAACTCTGTGGAGACGAAATTGTGGGTTGCCCCACTATTGATCAAAACAACGACCTCCCGGTCCCCGATCTTCCCTCTCACCTTCATTGTCCGAGGTGGAGTGAGTCAGCTGACTGAATTAAGGGACACTTCTGCTGTATCAAAATGCACCTCTTCCTCATTCTCCAACTCGTCCTCCTCATCATTGTCTTCATCCACAATAAGAACTTGTAACATTTTACTAGGGCATTTGTGTCCCGGTGCGAATTTTTCATCACACTTAAAACACAGACCCTTGGCACGCTTTTCCGAGAGCTCGGTGGCAGTTAGTCTCTTAAATCCCCCCGACGAGTTGTCTTGTTTCTTTGTCACTACAATAGCAGTCGACATGTTGGACTTGCCCAAGGCACCATATCCTAACCTAGACATGTTGTTTGTCCCTTTTATCAACCCTCCAACCCTGTTTTCATCAATTTTGATGGCCATTCGAATCGCCTGAGACAAAGAATCGGGTTCTGCTATCCGAACTGCTGCTGGTACGTCTTCTTTCAAGCCTTTAATAAATGTGCTCTCCTGAATTGATTATGAAATGTCATGTAGTTGTCCAGCAAATCCTTCGAATCTATCCACATACTCTCGTACCGTCCTTGTTTGTTGGATGGCCAAAAATTGTTCCTGAACACTGCCCTCACACGACCCCTGGAACCTTTCAAGGAGCTTGTGTTTGAACCTTCCCCAAGAACGGAAAGGTTTCTTGGCATCGTTCCAGCGAAACCACGTCAAAGGAGCATCCTCCAAGCAAATTGCTACTGCCCGCAACCGATCCTTCTTCCCAAACTGACCTCAAAGTATTTTTCAACCATGTAAATCCATCCGTGAACATCTGCACCACGGAAAACAGGAATCTTAAATTTTCAGCATTCAAGCAAAGGATCCCGCTTTTTCTTCTTCTTCTTGGCTCACTTCAAGTCGTCATTATCAGCACTGTCGTCCGAGTTGCTAGACTCCCCGTCATCATCATCCTCACTCTCCCTGAAATAGAAGAGGAATTGTGGGAATTTTTTTTTGTGTTTCTTCCTTGGTCCCTCGATTGCTTCAGTCAAGTCTGAAACGACTTTGGTGAGCACCTGCATTTGTGTTGCCACTTCCACACGGTGAGCTTCAGATGCATGGAGCACCTGATTAATGGCTCCCTCAAGCACAACAAGCCTTTTGGCGTTGGTGCCCTTCCACTCCAATTTTTCTGTCATCAGAACCGGTTGCTCTGATACCAAGAGAACTGGTTGCTCTGATACCAAGTGATATGAACTCAGGTAACCTGAGTTCCCTGCCTGTTATTCGAGTCACAGGAGTACTCCAAAAATACCAAACGGGTTTTTATTAATTCCCTAATACCCACAAGATCCTATAAAACTCTATTTATAATGTCCAGCTAACAAACCTAATTCAACTCTAACAGATATTGAGCATATCCTAAAAAGATAAAGACTAACATAAAAGATAAAGACTAAGCACAAATAATCAAAATTATCCTAATCTAAGGTATTCCTGCCACGCCTTTGATAAACCTGACCAAATCTTCCTGCCTGGGTCGTATCTGGGTGTAACATGCTCAAGCAAAATCATTCTTATTTCGATCACAAAATGAAATATGACTGCTTTACATTTGTCATAAAAACAAGTTTGTTGCAGAAATAGCAATTTTTTGTTATGTGTTTTCATGTTTGGGCAGGGACATGGACTTAGACCGATGTGAATGGGACAAAAATTACTAACAAAAAAAAAATTCACACCAAAAAAGTGGAACAAAGTGGGAAACTAACTTGTCCTTGATCTTTAGTCTCTGTAAAAGCCGTTAACACCATCCTAATCTCATCAGATAGCCGTAGAAAGTTTGTCGAGTCACATCCTTATGCAAGGACAAGCATGTAGGACACATTGTAGTAGTTTGCATTTCCATATAGGATGCACAACTAGTTTTCACATGTACTTTATGGTAATTGTGCATTTATTTAGAATAGCATATCATACTTTATGTTTCGCTTTCTATAACTACATGGTGTACACATTTTTTGCCATCTCCAGGTACGAATCTCCATACTGGCGGGTCCAGGCGGCAACCACCATCCAGGTGGCATGGAGATACTATAAGAAGCGGAAAAACCGTGCAAAAGCCTCAAATGGTCGTACCACTCTTCCCTCCAAGTGGCCTGCTTTGCAGCAACGGGTATCGTCTCATTAGTTTTCATGTATGTACCTACAATTTGGTGATACTATTGCCTAAACTAATGTCTATTTTGTAAACCCTAAACCCAACATTTATGAGTTGTGGGAAGCTACGAACTGAAGACGTGGGTGTTTACAAGGTGTTTTTACATGTTTTCTTGTAGTTTTATGTTTAAAGCGTGACATATTATTGTAAACGGTTCCCCTGTGATTGTGCAACATGTTATTGATGTAAAGGATTAACTTGTGAGTGTGTGCTTTCTGAGGTTGTAACAATAGAAGCACGTTTGCTCTTATGTTCAAAAGCAAAATGTATATATTTACATTTCACTAAAGTTCGGTTTCGATTTGGATTTTATTTCTTTTCGAAATACCTAAAAATCATATTTTAGAGTGAAACTTCACTAAATTTAGAGATGGAAGGAAAAAAAAGTAGTTTTGTTTTATTTTTTCCATTTTGATGTTGTAGATAGGGATGGAAATGGGGTGGGTCGACCAACCATATCCCCATCCCGAGTGCCAAACTGCATCCTCTTCCCCATCAACTTTTTTAAGCTATCAAAACCAGAGGTCATAATCAGATTGTGTTTAGATTAATCATAAAGTTTAACAAACATTAAAACGAGAAGTGACAATTTGGTATACGGACCATCAAACGAAGTAATGATTGACGAACTCTTGGATTTGGGAGTGCAATTTGTTGTAGTGACTCTATATTTAATGGTCTAATACACATCAATAGAGAACCATGATTAATCAATAAAACAAGGAACCAATCCAAGACGTCAGAATTTAAAGCGCTTAAGGGCAAAAGGAAGTGTTATAGACTTTTAGAGTTGACATAGATGCACCGGATTATAAGAAACCCACTTCTTCTTTTTTTAATCCACGTTTTTTTATCAAAATAAATAAATAAATAAATAAAACATAATATACTGTTGTTCATGACTTTTCGTCTTCTTTCCATAGAGATCTATATTGATATATAAAAAAATAGAAAATTTTTTCATAAAAACCCACTTCATTTTCATTGTTTTTATCAAAGAGGGTTTTCAAACCCTTGGGAATATTCAGAGACTCGGCTATAGTGGTTTGCTGGTTAGTTTTGCTCTCTTCAAATTATGAACAACGCTATATTCGATTTTTTTTTTTGATAAAAGACATGTCTTAAAAAAATTAAACAAAAAAAGAGATGAGTTTTTTGGTAAAGAGGTGGGTTTATAGTATAATCCGGTGTGTCTGTGCAATGTACAAGTGTACACACAGTCCTTTGGTCATTGATCATTATGATTTCTAATGCTCAAGATTGCTTCATTGGTTCCTTATTAATAATGGTTCTCTATTGAACATCAATATATATATATATATATATATATATATATATATATATATATATATATATATATATACACATATAATGTCATCAAAATAGGGCATGACGGGTTAGGGATTAGTATACCCGACCCCAATCCTATCCTCGGTTTTAGCCTAATGTGGATCCCCAACCCGATCCCTGATATTCGTTTTTACGGGGAATACCCGTCCCCAATTGGGGCGGGTCAACTAGGTTCCCCACCAGGTTGGTTGAAATTTACATGCCATACCAACTCTTTATAGAAAGATAATATGTAGAATGTTCTTGTATAATACCCTAATATGCTTACAAACTGAGTGATAATACCAATGTGCAACATGATAGTGAAATCTAAGATTAGAAGGCTTTTTGGTAAGAATATACATAACTTGAGCGACGCTAAGAATTTAAAGAACTATTAGATATTAAGATGATACCAAATCTCAAATGAAATTCATAAAATCTTGATATGCTTTTCCCTCTATTGAAATGTAACATTATTAGAATGCATGTATATAGGCTCAAAACCTAGTCGATTCCCTACTTTTTTGTAGAAGATAACGCCCTACCCCCTTCCCCCAAGACGTGTTAGGAAAACTTTTAGTATCACCAACATCAAGGCCTACGTCCTTAGAGCTAGATCCAGGAATCCAATTCACAACCGGTAAAATTGACAACAGAGGCTTTAAAATTGTTGAATAAAACTGAAACTATTTTACCCACCATGTATCATTTTGCAAGAGTTAGAGAGATTAAAACAACCATAGAAGGGAAAGCATAACAACTTTTGAAGACTTTGATCCTCATGGGAGGTTGGAAGTTCATGAAGTGTGACATGAAACTCTAAAACAAGATCTCTCTAGAAGTATCCACCAAGAGTAGAACCATCAAAACATGCTAGTATTCACTTGTAATTTGTTGTTCATAAGCCTTTGAAATATATACCAAATATATATATTCAAAGGTGAAACAACAAAGGGACTTTGTCTAACATCAAAATGCAAGAGAATAGAAAAGAAGGGAGAGCCTAAATCTCGAAAATTTGGCAGCCTATAGAGAGCAAAGAGCTCTCGATTTTGGCTTTCCAAAGACTACAAATATGGGTTGCAAGAACTCTAATCTAACCTTCCATGCCCTCCCTTATATAATTGCCAAAAGGCAAAGGGAGACCATAAAGACAAAGGAGCAAGGGACATGTTTCATACAAGCATGATAGAATTTATTAAATAATTCAAAAGAAGGCCATACTTGGTCTTCTCTCACTTTTTTTAAAAAGGCTAGGCACAAAAGAAGACAAAAGTTGTCTCATGACTAGTTTATATATACATATATGTTACCTTTATAAAAATAAAACATTTTTATAAAGAATTCCCAACATATATATATATATATATATATATATATATATATATATAACTAGTCATATATAAATATCTTATTTTATATAAAACTATCTTTAATATAATTTTTAACTAGCTTATTTTATATCAAACTACCTTCTATATAAATTGAACTAGTTTGTTAAGATATAAATATAACTTATAAATAATCATACATCATGATATATTTCATAAGTAGTTATTTCTCCAATAAATATTATTTCCTCAAATAATAAATTCAGAATTAGTAAATTATTATATCCATGAATTAATAATTTTCCAATTAAATACAAGTGTTGATATATTTATTAGTAATCAAATACTACTAGAAAAAGAGCCTTTTACGATGTGCAATGTGTGTCTTAAAACGCTCAGACGACGCGCAAATGCGTGTCAAGAAAGGCCCTGCCATAATGGAAGACGACGCGCATTTGCACGTCGTCTATTTACGATGCGCATTTACGACGCACAGTTATGACGCGTAATGCGTATCAAGAAAGGCCCTATCATAAATAAAGACGACACGCATTTGCGTGTCGTAACCTTACGTTGTGCGTGTTTATGACACATAATGCGCATAAAGAAAGGCCATGTCATAAAGGCAGTCAATACACAATTGTGTTTTGTAACGTTACAACACGCCTTTACGACTCGCAATGCGTATCATTAAATCTACTATCATTTGCATGTCATAAATTCCAGCTGCCAGTTATATACCCCTATACGACGTCCATTTACGACACACATTACAATGTGAATACACATAATAAAAGACAAATATATATATATATATATATATATATATATATATATATATATATATATATATATATATATATATATATATATATATATATATATATATATATATATTCTAACACCGTAAATTTCAAGACAAATTTTTCATTTAAAATAATCATTTTATTCTTAGAAACACTTGTTTCAAATCTCATTCATAGTCGAATTACAAAACATAACTCCATTTTCACTTGCATAGAAAACCAGGATCCTCCAAAATATGTCTCTTTCTCTGGTGTGTACAATCAAGCCGGTACCGTCCCGTGATACTGAAAGAAACCTGAAAAACATCACACAAAACACTGTAAGCACGAAGCTTAGTGAGTTCCCCAAAATACCACATATAACACATATTAGCCACTCGAGGCTATAAATCTATGGGTCCGTGCACCCAAACTCTGTGAACCCTCAGGTTCTAACTCTGGGAACCTTCTGGTTCCAACTCTATAAACATGCACAACATAAATCACATAGAAATAATGCAGTACAACACATCACGTACATATAGCATACAAATATTCTGATCACATAACTCTGGTTACCTACTCAAGGTAAAGTATAGTGAAAAGACTCACCTGGCAAGCAGAAAGCAGATATCCCCACAATTAAATCTCGAACTCGCCACCGCCTAACACGTAAGGCAAATACTCTCATGAATATAACTCTCGAGACTAAAATCAATCCTCTCATGGCACCCTCTTAAGGGTAAAAGACTATTTTACCCCTCTCTTGGCCCAAAGGCCACATCGCTGACCAAACCCTAAAAGTCAACGGCCAACCCTTGGTCAAAATCAAAGTCCTCAGTCAAAGTCAACCCTTTGACTGACCCTACTCACCGAGTCAACCCTGTGACTCGTCGAGTTCCCATAATCAGAACTTCACTCAATCCGCGACCTAACTCGCCGAGTCCAACAACTCAGAGTCCACTCGCACACAACTCACCGAGTCATCCCTCAACTCACCGATTCTCGACTCAACCAGAGAATATCGGGACCCTTCGACAAGACTCGCCGAGTCCAAGAACAGACTCGCCGAGTTGTTCTTCCAACCCCGCCGAGTCCCAGCTTATCTTCAAGAAACTCGTCGAGTACACTCATGTGACTCGCCGAGTACCACCGATCTGAATCCACTCAGAAGCATTCCAGGTCATGCAACTGCTCCAAAACATAGATCTAGCCTCCTACTACTCATCCATCACGTAAAGTGGCAAACTTTACGTGAATCCAAAGAGATCTAGGCCGTTTGCACATTGGGCTAGGGTTTGGGACATATAAGCTTCACTAAACACTCCAACACAGGGACTTTCATGCTCTCTGATTCTTCTCCCTTCCAGATCTGAGGTAGCAACCTCAGATCTAACCTCTAGACTTCCCATTACATCCATAGACAAATTCCCACAAACCCCAAAATGAAGAAACAACATAACAATAGCCCAATAACGAGATATTACCTCTAAGAGATGTCCCAACTGCAATGTAATTCGAATCCAAGTAAAGCCCCTTGCTCCAAGCCTTCAATCTCCCAAAATTCCTTCCACAATTACTTCTCCAAGCTCCAATCCACTCAATAATGGTGCGTCTCCGCGATTTAGGGTTTTTCTGGGGCTCAAGGGGTGATAAAGAGGCTGGGAGGAAAACATAATGATCTTTATATAAGGCTCAACCCCAAGAATTAGGGTTTTCTCCACTCAGCGCCTACTCACCGAGTCTATCTCACTGACTCGCCGAGTCGGCTACTTAACACGCAACCAAGTCGCGACTCTACTCGCCGAGTCCATCCATGGACTCGCCGAGTCACTCTTTTAGCCCCTTCAACTCTACTCTTGATATTTCGGGAAGTTACATACATATATTTATCTTTTATTATATGCAAACATTCATTTTCATCTAAATTTTACATACATACATACATGTCAAGTTACCTTAAGTAATTCTAAAAGCTAGCAAAAACATGTACATGTGTATTAAAAGACTACCTAGCATTACAACACATGTCAAAAGACCGTACCTACCATTTCACTGTTAACCATAACATTGTTTTGCGGATACATTGTCAAAAGACCATAATCATCGATAAATGAAGCCAGTAACAAACTATGCCCATTCGTCACGTATCTCATTGATATCATCAGTTGTGTATTAAACTTTGCCATCCCCGATCTGTGAAAAAATTCGCATGTTGTTTTTATTAATAAAAATTAGCATATTAACATATTCTGTAACAGTAAGTTGCTATATTTAACAAATAAGCATAAAATGTAAATTATTCTTTCTTAATAGGGCATTGTACTTTCAAATGAATGAAAGCACATTTTAGTTTTGCATGTAACCTAATATTTCAATTATAATTGTGAGAGTAGGATGCCATAAAATGATCCTTTTTTCAATTCCTTTCCTATTAAATTATAGTAATGAAAGTAGAATGTTATTTCCTTACATTGTCTTTGACCAGCACTTCAATTCCTTCTTCCACTATCTCCTTCATGAACCTTAGCATGTAGTAGCCACATTCGGTAGCTCCAGGCTGAACTGGACACTACACAATTACATATAAAATGATTGTTGCAATTGATCCAAAAAATAAAGTTAAAACTACAATTTTAATAAGGAATTAAGTGTTGACCATAACATTAACCCAATTTAATTTAACCCTTTTGTTGGATCCACTTTGTGTAGCGTACAGAACCATTGCCCTATAAAAAAACATCAACAAATAGGTGTTTCTTGTATTCACATCAACTGTTTTGATAATTTATATTACTTACAAATCAACAATTTGCTTCAACTGCATGTTGAAATTGCTAGAACTCAAGGAATCAAGATAATAGCAATTATCCGATTTCATGTCTACTACACCCAATACCCAATGTCTTCTACAACAAACCACAAACAAAATTAAGTCAAATAATTAACATAATTGCAGTCATTTTCAAAATAAAATGTCAAAATCAAACTCGGGATTGTAGGGCGTAAAGATGATGTCATTGCCTTTTCTTTTAGACAACCGATCTGCTAAACCTTTGCTTGCATCATCAATATTCTTAGATTTCCCTTTACGCGTACTTCATTTTGTTAAACAATACCGTATTAAACAATACCGTATTATCATACAAACACTAAATTCATTAAACAAATTTTGTTTTAAGACACAATGATATTTAAATTAAATTTCTTGCACTTACATCATATAAGACACAATAACAACACCAATCAACTCATCCATTGTACGAACTGCTTCAAAATCATTCCAAGTTAAGTACGTGTAACTATCGTACCCAAAAAAGATCGTTCTCACTCTGCACTTTTATAGAATCAACCTTTGTAACTTGTCCATCAGCCATCATTGCAGTCATTTTCAAAATACTACTCTTCTCAATCCTTATCCTTGTCTTCATCTATGCACTAGTCCACCTTCTTTGCAAGGTCACATTTTGTTTCTCCTTCTTTTTAATCTTCTTTTCTATTTCATTCCCTTCTTCCATATCATCCACTTCTTCCACATCACATTGTTCTTTTTGTTCATGCTCAACCGTTTTTCCTGTCCCCTTTTCTTTCTTATTACTTCCTATTTCTTCTTTTAAAGGTGTTGCACCTTCCTTCACCGTTGTGTGTTTCTTCACTGGTGTTGTGTGTTTAAATTTCTTGCACTTACATCATATAAGACACAATAACCGCACCATTCAGTTCAGCCATTGTAAGAACTGCTTCAAAATCATCCCAAGTTCAGTACGTGCAACTATCGTACCCAAAAAGATCGTTCTCACTCTGCACTTTTATAGAATCAACCTTTGTAACTTGTCCATCAGCCATCATTGCAGTCATTTTCAAAATACTACTCTTCTCAATCCTTATCCTTGTCTTCATCTATGCTCTAGTCCACCTTCTTTGCAAGGTTACATTTTTTTTCTCCTTCTTTTTAATCTTCTTTTCTATTTCATTCTCTTCTTCCATATCATCCACCTCTTCCACATCACATGGTTCTTTTTATTCATGATCAACCATTTTTCCTGTCCCCTTTTCTTTCTTATTACTTCCTATTTCTTCTTTTAAAGGTGTTGCACCTTCCTTCACCGGTGTTGTGTGTTTCTTCACTAGTGTTGCATGTTTCTTCACAGGAATTATAAAAAATATAGAATGAAACAGGAATCATTTACCGAAGCTGAAAAAGAACTCGCTCAAATATCAGAAAAAATAAGAAAACCAAGGGCAAATCTGTGAAAACTTTGTATGTTTTAAATCTGTAAAAATTACCAGGTCAGAGCATCGAATAACTAAGTGTCTTGGCCAACTTAGTATGTGTCCCAATGCATCTTTGACCTTTACAATGAACTCCTCTTCAAATGGAATGGGTATTAAAGCTTCTCATTGAAAAATTGTTTCCATCATAACTTCGATGTTTTGATCAGTTACATAAACGAAAAAAATAATTAACATCCAATCTTCTAAAAAATGAAAATATATAAATAGTAATAATGAAAATATTTTTCAAAATACCCAATGCACTATACTTTATTATGGTTCTTTTAGCGACTACATTTGCAGCAAATTTAACCGCAAGAAGACATGAATTATCCTACCAAAATATAGTATGTTAGTTTTAAAAAAAAAAAAAATTCTTTAAATATATTTTTCATAATTGTCTTCAAGGACTTACAAGTGATTCATCTCGTGGTTCTTTTTCAACATCTTCAATGATGCCCCCTACTTGGCAACTTGGGGCTTCAGAAACATTAAGTACACCTCTTTTTAGTTTTTCCAAGTCATCTTCAAGTTTGTTGATTCGTTTATCCACCCTCTCGTTCTCAATGTCCAAGTAATACTTAACATTCTTGGGTAAATAAAAGTATTGCTGTGGCGTTATAAATTTACCCATCCCTCATACACGCCCACGTTGTTCCTGAGTACCCAAGGCCTCTGTAAGCACATCATGTGTTGCATATGTAACCTCTCTAAAGCTTCCAGATTTATGCAGCTCATCCTGTAAAAAAATTGGGACAAATGTTAGAAAATAAAATGGGAAAAATGTTATATATATATATATATATATATATATATATATATATATATATATATATATATATATATATATATATATTTGGCATTCAATGAAACTTACAATTTTATCAGCTATCATCTTGACATCTGATTCGTATCCTCCTATCTTCAACTCTCTTGCTTTTTTCCACAACAGTAGCCTATCAATCTCCTCTTCCGTCTTTCCGGTTTCTTGCATCTAACTTATCAAGAATAACAAAGTCAATTAACATAAATATATACAAATAAAATAATAAATACTTAGTGGGAATCATACGATGTCATTAATGAGTCTGGCATATCCTTTTCTGCTCAAACAATGTTTGTATTTATGATGTGCACGAGTATTTTTATCTTTTGTAGTTTTCTCCTGCATTAGAAACATTAAAATTGTAAGTACAAACTTTTAACTTTCCATTTTTTTTGTAATTCTATGGTATATAAATGCATATAAGAGAAGTTTAACCAACCTCCCGCTTTTTTGTAACTCTATAGGATACAAAAACTATCCAGTCTTTTTTCTTTATAAATGGATAATCTTTCGGAGGTTTGAATAGATTTTCCTTGGGATCTTTACTTTGGTTCTTAATGAACTTGGCATATAGATAATGCTTGAAGTTTCTCCACTTCTTCTCGATCGATTGGAGAGTTTGCTTCCGAATTTTTGGGTCAACTACAAACTTTTCCTGAAACATAAAAAAAGGGTTGGTTAAAAAACAGATCTAAACAGGGACAAAAACAGAAACAGGGACAAAAACAAGTAATAACAAGAAGAAACAGACTTACCAAAACATATTGCCATAACCCTTCCCTCACTTCTTCCTTAACTTCTAGCCAAGACGCGTAGGTTATGGGAACCATTGTTCTTGCAACCAAACCCTGAAAAGTAGTATAAATGTTTGAATATCTGAAAGTTAGAAATTTTGAATATGAGCTTGTTTGAATATCTTTATACTATATGCTCTTGCTGTATAAGTACTATAAATGTTTCAAGAACATAATTATGCTACTTGTTTGTCATCTTTAAAGAACATTATATGTTTGAGGATTCATGTCCATAATATTTAAAGTAAGAGATACTTTTAACCATTTTACTTGGCTTTAGCTTTCTTGTAAAAAGCCTAATAAAGGTGACGTCAACCAAAGCATATCAAAAATGGGCTAAATAGGTGTCCAACATAAAGCCACCTGCAAACCCGTTACATCATAATTTATGTGTGTGACCTTTTACCCTTGGGTGGTCAATTTGTTTAAAATTAGCTTTATTTTGGTTTGACATATTTTTAAACAGTTTGGGTGATGCAGCATTAAACATTTAGATAATGCCTCTTATCAACAAATGTAACATTCATCTACAAGACGCAATTCTTTTTTTCTTTTCTGGACTAAAATCCATAATATGTTAAATGATCATCTTATTTATTGTATCTCTGTTATGAAAAATAAAAATCAAGCAAGGTGTCTATATGGTTAATTATTGATTTGCCCTTGATTCAAATGTACTAGAAGCACACTCCTATAAGGATAGTTATTTTAGAAAACTTTTGAGTTATAACTACCAGATGTCAATGATTCAAATTATTGAAAGGTATAAACTAGATAAGGGTAATTTGGTCAAGTACATGTTAATTAGGAGTCTTTATTAGGAATTATGGTATTGACTTTAATCCATTAGTATGAACCAACGTGTTAGTTTAGAATGGGTATTAGTGAATGTTGTGTTGGTTAGATAGAAAGTAACTGTCATAATTAGGTATTAACTTTCAATTGACAGTTACAACACAAATAAAGACAGAAATGGAAAATACACTCCAATAGCTGCTTCTAGTAGCTAGATATTTTTTTGGACATCAAAGACTTTGTTAGAAAAGACCACCAGCGGGAAGCTGGAAACAAAGTACAAACAAAGAAACTTAAAAGTACAAAACAAAAATAGAAAGACCACCCAAAGGTAAAATTCTCACAAACATAAAGTTATCACCATAGGAGAAGTGAGTCATACAATTCTTTTACATTCTAAAAGTTTGTTGCACTGTGTTTCTCATTCTGTTAATTATTATTAAAATATTAACAGATTGAAGAAAGTGTCGAATGATCTATATCCTATAATTTCACAAAAACAAAGTGAGAGAAAAGGGCGTTTCGATTCGATGTATTCATATCTAGTTAGTAAATATGGTGGAGGGCAACCAAGTGGAGAGCCGAGTGAAGAGGAATTTGAAGCTGCAATGGAAAAGCTTGAAAAACGCAAGGGTAATAGAAAGTCTAAACATAATAAGTAAAGTTTTTAAGAGCTCTAGCCTCTAGTGCGTGTGTGTGTGTGTGTGTGTGGAACTTAATGGCATTTTCGTGATTTGTAAGATAGTTGTTTGGTCCGGTATATTGTGGATTTTACTTGTTTCTTGATTGTTAATTATCTACAATTATTTTTGTTTTGTTACAAAGTTTTCTTCGTCTCTTTAAATGCTAGAGGAAATCCGTGATTTATCCATCAACATTTGTTTCCAACCTACATAATTATTTACCATTTAAAGCAATAATGATTAAACATGTTGTGACAACCCTAAACTCTTATCATGTGCAATTGATTCATGTATCAATATTTATCTCGAACTTACCGTCTCTTAGCGAAATTTTGGGCCCATATGAGTGATTTAGGCTTAGAATATCATAGATATGAGTCTAAAGAAGGGTTAGAAAGTGTGTAGCATCACAAAATCGAGCCAATCACGCCAAGGAAGGTGTGTGCGGCCGCACACCCGCGAGTGCGGCCAACCAGCCGCACACCCAACCGCACACACCCTCCAGCCTCTCACTGACTCTATATATTGGAGGAGACCCCCATTCATTCACTATTTTCCCCTTTTCGCTGCAATCTACTTTCGCTCTCTACTTTCTCTCTCTAAGAACTTCATTTAAGAACATCATTAAGGATTCAAAAACGTGAACTAATTCATCATTCAACTTGTTATAGTGGTAAGACACTTGAATCTAAGCCTAAAACTGATAGTGTTCTTCATGTTCTTCATCCTTTGAAGGAGTGCAGCCGCACACCAGACACTTAAATACCCTCCAAAGTGAGAGTATGGCCTCCATAATCGAATTAAGACTTAGTTTGGGAACTTGAAATACCTCAGAATTGACATTTCGGGATCAAACAAGGAGTGTATGGACGCACACACCCTCTGTACGGCTGCACACTCCTGTGTGCAGCCGCACACACAAGTCTAACCACACTCCCTGGTCGCACACTCACTTTTATGGCCATACACCCACTCTAATGCTCACATATGGCCTTAAACTTGCAAGGATCACTGCGTATGGAACCTAGAACACTTAGTTCAAACATTTACAAGATGTTAGGATGGTTTCCCGTCATGATTAGTCATGAAATACGCTAATCTAATGCATATATGTGTTACCATATGATTAATAGGGTCCACTTGCATTCAGAACATCTGTTGACACTCGGTACTCATATCGATCGTATACTTGAATCCTACGTTAAACTGTAAGTTCATACCCCTACACTTTATGAGTTTTTCATGTTTTCAGGGGGGGGGGAATACAAGCTAAACATAAAGGTTTTCATAACATAAAAAACTGATGCGATTACATTGATTTTCTATCAAACATTTAGATACAATTATCCCTCTTGTATTATGCTCAGCATAAGGGATGTGTTCAATTCATAATTGCATAGTTCTTAAATTCATACCCGTACATAACAACCATTCAAAATATAATAGGTATAGTTTGGGATTCCAGTCATACAGGTTCAAACTTCATGCAAAGTCAAACATATAAACTATGTCAGATTTAGTTTATCCATTGCTACGAATACAAAACTAGAGTATCATGCTAAATAATTATTTTATGTATAATTATTTATACTCTACACCGTTACAAACAATTTCGAACTCGAGAACAACCGTACAAACACGTAAACTAGTTAATACAGGATTGTGAGACTATCTTCGTTTTACCCCTCGGGGTACCAATAAATCCTCACCGGTAGTATAACCAGAGTCTCCTGGAGGGAGAGCGTGAAATTTGTGAATAGATCTATTCGGGACCGACAATCCCACACCTAAACTGTTAGCTACAGTTAGGCGGGTACGCCTGGGGTGACAAACTTTGTAATCGTACAACGCCTGAAGAACGTCAAGGAGGTCACAGGTCAAATTAGATACGACTCACAATAACTATAAACTAATTGCTGTTTATGGGATTTCTTTCTTCTATAGTTTTATTTAAACTAATAAAACTACTTATCTACTTACTGGAGGGTATTCCAGGGACAAAATCTATAGTTTTATTTTAAATAATAAAACTACTATACATACTGGTGGTAACTAGGGTTTTCCGAACGATCATACGTTACATACTGGTGGTAGCCAGGGTTTTCAGACAGAACGTACCTTTCATTCAAAAACCAACAAACATGTTAGAAAATATTGGATTTTCTTGGTAAACATGCGTACATATTTCAGAACTTGGTAACAATGGTTTTCGATACAAACGATACTTACTTGCAATGGAAAGAAACTATTTATACAAATTTAGTGACTAGTTTTCAATACAAAATCATGCTTGTGAACTCACCAGCTTTATGCTGATACGTTTTCAAAATCGCTTGTATTCTTAGCGCAACGATAGACAGGTACCGTACTAGCTCTTGGAGAAGACGAAGCATTTTTGGAGTCTCGTCTTTATCTTTTGCTATATAATGATATGTACAAACTATCTTTTCAACATATGTAAATATTCATATTGTAATGTAATGGTTGTGTTTACTTTGATTGCTATGATACGAGTGTTGTGATACTACGTATGACGTCGCCACCCCCGGATGTTTCTGCCGTTGTTTTTTCTGACGGTTCGGGGGTGTGACAGATTGGTATCAGAGCTATAAACACTAAGGGGCTGAAGTGCTCTGAACTAAAAGTATACTTTAAAATATAAGTATTTTTACTCCAAGTATACAAGTTTACGTACATACCAGAAATCGCATCGTAAAAAGAACCAAACAAAAGTAAATGCATGTTGAACACTGTAGTTAAACCTCGGTAGTTATGTAATCATGTCTAGGGTCAAAATAGCCTGATCAACTATATTCATTCGAGACATGACAAACATATGCTTGGGAGTGACTGTGGTGTTGCAGCAGGCCTAAAACATACCAAATATTTCTACCAAAAGAAAATGATGGAACAAAACCTTTAACATAAAATACTATAGGAGGATTTTGATCAAAGCAGGATACATTGTAGAAATTCATTCCAAGTGTTGCTACTCATTCTTTCCTAGCGATAGTTTACTTGCTTTAGTAATTCCTTCCTGTTTATCGCTTAGTAGAACACTTTATCTATCGTATAGAGATACATCTTGTTTCATATCTCCTAATTAAATTCAGTGAACTTACTGCCCTCTCCTTCCTGATCATTTTTAGAATGAGATGCCTCCCAAGAAAAGACCCAGCTCAAAGAACAACAATCCTCCACCACCTCCTGAGTTCGATCCTGCTATATTCCAGGCAGCTGTTACTGCCGCTGTGGCAGCCGCAATGTCACAGATGAACCCCAGTGGTTCTGGCGGACTAGGAGGTGGTACCCATCCCCAAAATCAGGAAGGTGGTCAAGGACACCAGAAGGAGTGTTCCTATAAGTACTTCATGAATGAAAAACCCACACCTTTCGACGACATTGGAGGTGTCATTGCCTTGACACGATGGTTCGAAAATATCGAGTCTATTTTCGAAATCTGTTCCTGTTTTGAGGTCAACAAAGTAAAATTCGCTGCTTGCACCTTCGCCAACAGGGCAGTGGCTTGGTGGAATGGTCTGGTCAAATCCTTAACCC